GTGGCGATATAACGCGTGGAAATATGGTGCGTGAGGATTACAACACGTGGCGATATAACGCGTGGAGTTCCGGCACGTGGAAATTTCAGTGCGTAGTAATACCACGTATGGCGATATAACGCGTGGTAATTCCAAGCGCAGCAATATAACGCGTGGCGATAAAACGCGCCATAATTCCACGCGTGGCGATATAACACGTAAAATTAGGAAATTTGAGATTTCTAAATTGTCCAAATTCCTAAATGATAACAACTGGATTTTACCTCAAAAGCACTGGCCGTTTTAAGCTTGAAGAACACCGGCATATAAAAGTATGCGACCATGGGGGTAGCAAGTCCATATCCAATAAAAATCACAGCATACTGAGTACCATAAACGTAATTTTCTGAACTCACTCCCAGTAAACTGACCGCGGATAGGTACGAGACCGTTAAGGCAATCGCAACCGGTGCCACTTGCATCGATCTGTTAGCCACGAAATATTCCTGCCACAAAACGATATCGAAATTACATGAAATTACTTGCGTTTATGTCATTTTTTCGAATGGTACTGTTTGGCTTACTTCCGTAGACTTTTGTTTTCCACCTGTTCTCCAGTAGTATATACCGATTCCTGCACTAATTAGCATCGTTAACACGATCACCACGTAATCTGCTGCTCCCAATGTGGCCATGTTGACACTTTCAAATCGTGATTCTTGATAAACTACTAATTTTGATTGATTATAATCTGGTAATCGGTACTGTACTTAATCGTTGGTTCTTGAAGACGTTCAACATTGCTGTTTATGTAAAGACACTATACTATACATTTACATATTTTGATGATCGTCTGAACTAAAGCGAACTTGATTTTAGACACTTTTTCTTATTGATGGTTACAATTGTCTCGAACGACTAAGGAGGCATGATGATATGAAACACTCGTATGACTCTTATCAGCGAATTATTAACTCAAACTGACGTGTTATCTTCCGTTTAGCGGGAGGTGGTAGTATTGTTTATATATGATCGTAGCGAGTATATTTATTGTACACTATCGAACGTTGTAAACATTGGCGTAACTTTGATTTTTGCATGAAATGTATAGGTTTCGTGGAGAAACCTAACTAATGTGTGACTAACTTGTAAAATAGCTTCAAAAATTGTTAGATCTTTAACATGACTCATATGAAGTATCTCATATTCTCCATTCCACATAAAGGGCGTTGGTCTCTACTTCTTTTTAGATCAGTTCTCATTTGCACATATTTCGTTGGTACATACGCCAGAGATTGTCAAGTACATACTTACTTGTAGTGTACCAAAGATCAAGTGGCTGATAAGTATGATGCAAACAATAAGCTTGAGATAACTATACTTCATTTATTTTTTACCATCGTGTACACCTGAGTCACGTTACTTAAACAATTTATTATTAGGAGAATTTTATCAATTTGTAATACAAGTCTGTTCCCATTTCGATCAATCGATCTAAATCAGTCTTATCTTACAATTGTATCGAGATAATTCAGTAAGTTTCGAATTTTTACATTTGTGAATATGAATGTGTAAACTGCGTTGTATCATACATCTTTATCCAACCTGGTATAATTACTGTGCCTAAAAAAATGTGTAAATTTGTACACTTATAGAAATGCGCGATAATTTTTATTGGACCACCTTTTCGAAGATGAAAAAAAAAATTGTAAAACAGCAAATACATCGATCGATCGTCCCGTTATCGAATTCCATCGTGCAAAGGCGAGGTGCGGGGGCGCCATAGTGTTCCTGTTGCAGAGACACACGTTCGCTATAAAGATTACAGTTATAAAGTATACGGCAAATATTAAGTGAAAGACCATAGATATCGGATCTCGTATAGGTCCGTGACAGTGTTTACGGTACCGGCGACAACCATTTCCTGCGTACTATCGTAGAACGCGTTGTTTGCACGACAAGCGCTTCTTACGGAGCCACACGGCTTATATGCACGTTCGCGGCTATACAAACCTACGCTCGTTGAACGTGCACGTACGTACGCACTTCCGCGTTCTCGTATCCTACCCGAGAGCGCGGGTGTCTCTTATGATTATCGTCGAAATAAATTCCACGGTAACCTATGCCTCTTTTCTTCCACGTCTTCTTGTTTGCTTCCCTCGCATTAGAATAGAATGCGTGGCATTCGGAAAACAGGAGAACGAGATGCTCGGTGCATTCTCCGATACCGGTATCTATCGAACGGAATAAGTAGATCTGTCTGCAGCCGGAATGTTCTGCGAACGCGTGAACACGCGTGCAAAGATGGATTCCACTGAATTTCTTCGTTAAATGATTTGTACGACATTCTGAGAAAAATTCCTGAACGACTAATTCTGACAAGAAAGTCACGATCATTTTTTAATAAAAATAATATTGCACATTGGTAACATTTTGAGAAGTTTTATCTGCAAGGGATAGAATATTTTTTGAATAATTTTATTCACTATAAAGTTGTTGTTGTTTATTATTGAAGGCCTCGACTGCCTGAACTATAAAGTTGGTTATAATTTGGGTCATGATATTTATGCATTCTGACCTTTATTTAATAGTAAAATAGTATGTGTAGTAACATAGTAGTTAAACAGCAAAATGGTAGAACAGTAATAGTACAAGTAAATAATGGAATAGAAAAAATAGTAAAATAAGAGAAATAGCGAAACAGTAAAATAAGGATTAATTGCATTCTGGATGCTGGGCAAACTTGTTTGTTCGCCTAAACAATTTACCTACACATTAGCGATTCCACGCGTTGGGTGCTTGTTAGCGCCAGCTCCCACGTCACGAGTTGGTCATGTAACGCGTTAAGGTGTGTAAATCGTGCTGGTTGTAGCCAAGATTCTAGGCAATTACATAAAACACGGTGGTCTATTGTCCTAACGGATCGTACTCGATCATTTGAATAGATACGTGAAAAATAGCAATAATTTTAACGTTCAGAAAATGGAAGAATCCGGTATCGTTTCGATTGATTCGCGAGTGGATCTATAAGATGGACCATTTCGGCATGGTATTCACGAAGGTATGCATTTTATTGGTCATGGACGAGGTGTGCCCGTGCCTCGACCAACGCGTATTCGTCGCTTCGGTTCATTTCGTCGAGACGTCACGCGCTCCGATCCTAGCTCGAGGCTCTCGAGTTGTTACGATAATAAATATTCCGTATCGAAACGTCGTTAAGTGGAAATCATTTTGCAATTAAGAACAGGTTATTCCGCGGATCGAATCGATTACGATCTAATAATCGTTCGCTCGTGCAATTTACCGCTGGATTATTCATAAATCCGTCGCGTCGGTTTATACGCGTATGCGTAAGAGAAGCATTCCAGCGGGACTTAACGAGCATGCTAAACCGCAAGGGCAGGAGATCAGGGACTTTACTGGAATGCATCGCGAATTGCGTGCACGCATTATGCAGATTCATCCAGACGTAGGTGGAGAGAGAGACAAAACGAGAGACATCGTAGGAAGAATATGGTGCACCTTCGGTTTTCCAAATTCATCAACAGCTTCATTCAATAATTCTATTCGATTTCATTTTGAACTTCTCTTCGTACCAATTCAAGTGCAGCAGTACTCATTATGCTATAAACCATTTTTACAGCGACTAATCTAAATTACATTACCTTATCAATATTGATTAATTAGTAAATTGAATACATTTTTAACCCAATTGAAACCATCATACTTCAACTACCAATCATAAATTACAATATTAATTTTTATGTGGATAGATAACTTTATCCAAGCGGATAAACTTAAAGCGATACGGATGTGTATTACACGCCTGTTGTATCGCATTAAATATACTTTTCATCTTTTTACCCGATAACCCTGTCTGTAATCAAACAATTTTCGCTGAAGGGGAACAGTGTTAATAACCATTCGCATTATCGGACGAGTCGGTAACTCGTCTCTTTCCTTTCATCGGGAATCGTTAAACCGATTTCTGCTAAACCGTTAACAGGTATGTATCAGGGATACTGTCACGATCGATCATGTTCACTTTTACTCTAGTTAACTGAATACTAATGGAAATGTTACGTGGCCGCTAGCCTATCAGATCGATTCGTTCTTATCTTTCATTTTGCGACGAATAACCGACTATTATAAAGCGCGATACCGTGGTTAGTCTCGAGCGACGAGAGAACGGGTACATGTCTTGTGTCACTTGAGACTGCAGAAGCTGAGTAATTAAATCTACGGTACTGGAATGCGGTTTCCCAGCATCGATCACTTCCTGTCGATTCTCTTTCATCTTCTGGCATCGCGGCTAAACGGTGAAATCGAAACAAAGAAACTTCACGACGGAAAACAGCGACGAGCGCAGGGGCAATCTCTAGGAGTAATCCGACACGCTTGTAATACGCGTTGTGTCGTTTTAACCCTTTGCGGTCGTATTTGTCCCAGGATGCGTTTACGGCGAAGGGCTGTTCACGTGCTCGAAGTGGGTTGATGGGCATTGACGAGGACGGTGTGTGCACTGACAGGATAGTTTCTGGATTTCAGACTAGTGGGTTTGGAGATTTAGAAGTTTGGGGTTTGGGAAATTGGAAGATGGGGAATTTGGGGGTTTGGGCACTTGAGTACTTGGGTATTTCAAGATTTGGGGATTTGAGGATTTGGACATTTGAACACTTGGGTGATGAAGGATTTGAGGATTTGAGCACTTGGGTATTTAAGGATTTGGGGATTTGAGGAGTTGGACACTTGAGCACTTGAGCACTTGGGTATTTTAGGATTTCGGGAGTTGGAGATTTGGACATTTGAGCAATTGGGTATTTACGGATGTCGGAATTTGGGTATTTAGGTTTTTGGAAAGTTAGTAAATTTCAAGAAGTTTAGCAGATTTTGATTTCTCAATTCTCTACATTTGAGAATTTACAATTTGCAAGTTTGAGAAACTGTAACATACAGTGTAAGTACTAGTATGACCACATACATCACCATCCACTGCACCACCCCATTGAATGCACAATTGAACCAAATCCACAATACCGCATGATACTCATCGAAACTCCTACCATTATCACATCAAAAACCCCCCCAAAAATATATATTTTCAAAAACCGAAAAAATGATGAAAGGAAGGGTTGATACGTAGACATACATGGTCCGAGTTCCCATTCGTCGTTCTTCCTTGGTCGGCACCTTCTCTCTCCTCCGGTAGGTAGGTTGCTAGGTAATTAGATTTGTACACGCGGGCAGCATCGGCGCTGAGAAAAGGACGAGAAGTGGCGAGAGTGCGCAAGATACGGTTACTCATGCCGCTGGAATGTAGTTCACATTGTTTATATACCGCCTCCTACGTGCATGCACGTCGCACTTCGTCGAACGATAAAACCAGTCGCTGCCGCTCCCGTTGTGGATCGAAGCGATTTTCTTCGATTCGACCTGTACACTGTACACTCGGGGCATCCTAATCTTCTTTAGCGGAAATACCCGATGTAGCGAGTCTCCTACCTCATCGATTACTTGGAAAAATTTATTACTTATCAAATTTGGAATTTTGGGAATTTGGGATTTGGGGGATTTGGAATTTGGGGGACTTGGAATTTGGGAGATTTGGAATTTGGTTGGTTTGAAATTTGGGGGATTTGGAATTTGGGGTATATTAAATTTGGGTGATTTGGAATTTGGGTGATTTAAAATTTGGGGGATTTGGAATTTGGGGGATTTGGAATTTGGGGGATTTGGAATTTTGGAGATTTGGAATTTGGGTGATTTGGAATTTGGGATATTTTTAATTTGGGGGATTTGGAATTTGGAGGATTTGGAATCTGGGTGATTTGGAATTTGGGTGATTTAAAATTTGGGAGATTTGGAATTTGGGTGATTTGGAATTTGGAAGATTTGGAATTTTGGAGATTTGGAATTTGGGAAATTTTTAATTTGGGGGATTTGGAATTTTAAAAATTTGCAATCTTATGAATTTGGAGTCTAAAAATTCAAAAATTTCAGAATTTAGAAATTTAGGAATTTGGGTATTTGAGGAATTAGGAATCTAGAAATTTGGAAATTGAAAATTTGAAGTTGGGTATTAGAAAATTTGAAACGCCCTGTATCTGAATATCAGGGGTGGTCTACAGTCAGCCACGGTTTCTTTAATCCCCGCCGATCCACGACATGTTGCTGTTTTCGAATTCAGCAAGAGTTTCGTTCGCCTAACTCAGACCGCTTTGTATCCTCTATCTATCTATCTATGGGGTATGGGTTTTGTAAGCAGTCGCGATCTGCATACTGATTCGAAGGGCGGGCTAATTGTCGGCTATCGGTGCCGGCACAAAGGTCGTCGGTGTTACTTGCCGAGCATTCTGTATCGTTCGATGGTGCGGTAATAAACTGCTGATAATTCGAATGGCTAGTTATGGTGCCTTAGTGGCCGTGGACACATTGCGGATAATGGAAATGGACAAGCTTGCTAATGACATACCAACTAGTGGCTCGTGTTATCGTATCGGCCACTCGTTTCCCTTCGTGCACCATTTCGAACCGGTGTTCTTGATAATGTCACAATTCCACCAGAGTTACTTGTTTCTCGTTGCTCCTGATATCGATTCCAAGGTTCTATACTTCCAAAGTCAAAGATTGTAAATCTCACATACTCGGAATTGCTCAATTCCAAGATCCCATAAGTTCTAGAATTCCAAACTCTTAGATTTTTAAATATTTTTAAGAAAATCCATCACATAATCTCAAGGTTCCAAAACTCAAGATTGCTGGAAACCAAAGTTGGCACCCAAAGTCACAAGTCCAAAAGTCTCAGAATCAATTCCACATCCTATAATCTCATGGTCCAAAAATGAAGTCCCAACATTTCAGAGTCCTAAACTTTCAAATCTGGGACCTAAGGTTCCAAATTTCTAAAGACCTAAAATTCAAAGGTTACAAAGTTGTATATGGAATACGATCACTCCACGTAATATGTCGGAGAGTCCGATGTTCAGACTGGGGGATGCATATCTATTCAGATCGGCGCTGTCCCGCAGATTCACCCCCGATTGACCGCGAAAAAGCGTCGTACGGGAAGCGAGACGCACAAAAATGCGCTCTCCGTGATTTTCCTTCGAAGTCGGTACACGGGGTCGGTGATCGCGAGGGGAATGCTACAGGGACGCAGGTTGAACGGCTGCGAAATGCATTGGCTATCAGGTCCAAGAGAGAGAAAGAGAGAGACACGGAGCGACGAAGAGAGAGAGGGATGGTAGGAGGGTAAGAGAGAAAAAAGGATTGAGCAACGGGGGCAGAGAGGGCAGGGGTAAGAGAGGGAGAGGAAGAAGGAGAGAGACCGGCTTTTATAATGGCGCGGCAGTTATACCGGTAAGCGAGTAAATGCATCAACGTGGCTGCAAGCCGAGAGCCAGCCGAGAAAGAGAAATAGACAACTCTGGCTACGAGTATGTACGAGGAAAAAGAACGGGGGAGGGGGAGGGTTAGAGAGAAGAGGGTGGGAAGGATCGAGGAAAAGGGACAGAACGAGGACTCCTCAGGGTGTGGGCGGATTGCACGCGTCTCTCGGTAATGGATCTCATCGATCATCCCTTCGCGGGTAGATGGTTTCTCCTCCTTTCTGCTTTCTCGCGGATCGTCCATTAGTCAATTTCGTCGATTACCCTGGCGACTTCGTTGAATCACCGCACGACCCCGAAATAGCACTCCGACATGTGGACGATAGCCGCGGAAAGGAAGCTTTTCTCGTCCCATCTGCATTTGGGGTTCTACGTTCATCAGAGATTAAATTTCTATTCAGTACAATATAGAACACATGTCTTATGTTCTGAGCAGATTCACTGGACAAGAAGATCATGACCACAATTTTTAAACTTTGAAATACTTAATTGGTTTCTTTTTCAAATTGACATATCGACCCTTCCAAACTCGTTTCGACATTTCTGAAATTTTTCGTTCACCAAACATCAAGTCCTCAATATACCAGACTTCCATTTTTCCAAAATTGCTATTGCATAAAGACCCTCGAAAGTTGTCTTCGATGAAGGGGTATACAGAATGAAAACATCTTCATGAGGCCCACCAGGTTCGCCGGTATCGCGAAGTCAGATCGTGACAATGTAATCGAGTCAGGTTAAAGCTCGGTTACGGTTTTCGAATTACGGCGCAACAATCGCGTGGATCCGCTGGAAATCGAAACAATTAATCGGTTCCAGAGGGCCTCGAAATTCCACGGGAGAAGAAGCTGATGCCCTCCGCGTTGCATTTTTTTGGAGGACTTATTGCAGCCTCGATTTATGAGCGGCTGCCTGGCTCGGCGCGAGCGAGACCATTCGTTTCTCCATCCACATCCACGCGACCGCCTCTTGTTCCACGGAGATGAAAATGGAGTAACGCCGGGAGCGATTCTGTGATTTACCGTGGACCAACAGCCAGAAAGGGATTCAGCACGCGTATTGTGAAGCGTGCAGGCCACGGCCGTTCCTGCGGCTGGAATCTCTGGAAACGCCACGGTGATTTGTGAGACCGGTTACCGTTTCCATTTGCATACTACTATCGACTCTTTCGTACATTGTTATCTTCGTTGCGCGCGTTATTCTTACCTCTATAGCCTATAGCCTAACGCGGCGGTGGGAGGGATGTAATCCGGTAGGCTTCTTCCGTTTTCATGGGTTACGCGGTGATTGTTTGATCATCGTTGCAGAGAAAATTATACTATTTTCATAGGACACAACTTTACTAGTAATTTTACTACTGCTTAAAGGATGTTAAATATGGTTGTACAATTTTATGAAATCTCTTTAGATATTCGACAAACAATTGTTGTACGATTTACTCAAATATTAAAATCTTTTGAAAGTACCTTCTTTGGTGACATCACAGGTGCAAGTATGAAACGTTACAGAATAACGATGCAATCGACGAACTTGATTTGTTAAAACTTAATTTGTCAACTTGATTTGATGAAACTGTAATTTATAAATGAAGTCAGATAGGAGATAAGTGAACTATAATCGTTTTTGGTGTTATTACAGTGAGGACGCTGGGCGTAGCGGCGACGAAATGAAGCATGCAGCATGCGTGGTAGCGGTGTCACGGCTGCGCGGTCCTGCCTTCAACCCCTGGTGTCCGCCAGCCGCTATCTCGCCGTTCAAGCCCTTCCTGGTGATCCTCTTTACTTCGTCGTTGAGGTGAGTACAACCGCTTCAAATATAATTATGTATATATACATAATTAGTACATATGCATTAGGAACATAGGAACTTCGAGATGTAATATAGCTCCCATATTCCTACATGTATAAATCTTGAAATTTGGGGATCTAGGTATCTACGTACATAGGAATCTTGAACGTAGAAATCTAAGAATTTGGGACATAGGAATTTGAAGATACGAATTTAGAAATATATGGATCTATCTCTAGGATGTAGAGATGTTTGTATAGGAATGTAGAGATTTAGGAATTTAAGGACATAGGAATCTTAAGATACATAAATTTAGAATCCAGGAATTTAAAGATATAAGAATGCAATATTGAACGCAATATTGATTCAGAGATATAGGAATTTAAGTGCATAAGAATATAAAAGTTATATGAGATATACAAGGATTTTATTCGTGATGTTAAACTTTCCTCGGTATAAAACACGCATAAGTTTTTACAGTACTTATGAATATTATGCACATATCATATACTCCTCCGACGTCCACTCTTCGAGGGCGTATAAGCTTTTCAATTCGAGAGGGTTAAACAGTTAATGGAGAGGAATAATTCATGACGACAATGCATATTCAAGATGCAATACATATAACTCCATCCTATTCCGTTATGCATGGTAATTCCGGGTCATGTATCTTCCATGGGATTTCCTATTATCTTCTAACGAGAAACGATAACAGCGTTAACGTCCAAGCTCGTTGGAAAATTAACAGCGAACAAGATTTCTGTCGATTACTCAATTTCTGCTGCGATAAAAATTCCCATAATTCAAGTGCTATTTCTCTGTGAACCGTAATCATTCAATATATTACCAATTTCTTAAGTGCTCGAAGGCATTACCAGGTCTATCAATATTATCCACTTAAAACAGTAAGAGAACTATGGCTTCATAAGTCCTGGCTTTGACCCATGATTGAGCCAGACTCGTGACGTTACAAATCTGACAAAACTATTTGCATAAAGTATTGAGTATGATATTGCAGTTAGTACAATAAAAGATCGCTAAATCCAAAATATACCTAACATTTCAACATTCTTTATTAACACGGCTGGAATTATTTAGGAACCTGTCGAAAAATGTGTAGGCTAATCTTTTAAATTTCGAAATTGTGAAAGATTTATTAACGTAACCTTTGTTCGATCAGCCATTCTAATTCACGAAAGGTGTTCATTCAGCTTGACGTTGTAAACGACTCTCTTAGAGAGGACAAGGCAGGTGCATGTACCTTCGCACGCCTTAATATATCGACCATACTATACGCGGGTTTCTCTCGCATCGGTTATTCCACTCTCGCACGCCCACGCCGCGGATGTAACTAATCGCATTCCTCGATTAGAAAATCCAGCCGTGCCCTCGACACCGTGATGCACATGTTCCGATAAAGTCTAGTATTTCGCGGCCGTGTAAGCGCTCGCCGCGAGATGCAACACGGTTGATGCTTTTTTAAAAACGAGGTCGTTGTTTTCGTTTCATGCTCGGATATTGTGGCATACCACCGAGACGGTCAATTGTAACGTATTCAATTTTACAAGGATTCTATGCGAACAAAAATAGTTTCGCGTGTTGAGTCTTGTTTAGCTGCTGTAATATTTATCAGAGTGTGTGTGGTCGGTGTGATAAGATCGTTGAAAAGTTAGCGCAGAGTGTGTTGAGATTGATTCGTGCTCGTTTGAAATTTAAGTGGGTTAGGTAGACATCTTTGTTCAGGTGAAGACGAGGGTGAACTTCATGACTTTTTCATGTGAAGATCTATGGTTTTAAACTCGTACTTTCTGAAATGTATAAATTTTTTGAATTTATAAGGTCTGCTAATTTTTTTGAGTTTACAAGGTCTGCTAAATTTTTGAGTTTTTAAAGACTACTAAATTTATTGAACATATTTATACCTGTAAATTATATTCAATGCTCTAAATATCCTGAATTTTCAAGTTCATGAAATGTTAAAATTCTCATGGTCCCTAACTTGTAAAAATCTCTAAAATCCTCAAAATTCTTAAATTTACAAAAACTTCAGGAACTTCAAAATCCCTAAATCTTCAAAACTTCTAACATTCCCAAAATCCTTAAATTCTCAGAATTCCTATAATCTTCATAATCTCTAAATTTCAAAAATTTCTAAACTCTTGTAAACCATCAAAATTCTCATAATCTATAAATCTTCAAAATCCCTAAAATTTTCCAAACCCTCAGAATTCTTAAAATCCTCCAAATCTTCTAAACCCTTAAAATTCTCAAAGTGCCCCAAATCCTTATATTTTTTAAATCTGCAAAATCCCCAAAATCCCTAAAATTCCCAAAACTCCAAAAATCCCTATAATCCTCAACCCCTGAATTTTGAAAAAATACCCACTTTCTCAAACATCTACATCCCAAAACTCCTAACCTCCTAAATATCCCGAATCTGGAAAATAGCCAAAATTTAAAAGTTGCATTGGAAGAAAGCAAAGTTGGCGTTGGAGGATAATGAAAGGCGTGTAGAACAACGAAGGCGGTAACAATCTCAATGCCAAGGTTTCCGCAACGACGTCGATTTACTCGTTCGAGGTCTGTTGCCTCCTCGCGTCGTTAGACAAACCATCTACAACGGCGCACACCAGCCATGCCGTGAGCGTAGCGCACCTTCTCACACGATACCATCTTCCTAATTATAGCTAGGCTCATTTGTAACGACGAATCTGAATTCCCGGTTGCTAAGGAAATTCCTCGTTCTGCCTGCGTGCTCTCGTGTTGGCCTCCTATGAAATCAACCAGCCTCGATTCTAGCCTCGTTACACCGATCAAATGCACGCGTACCGGGAAAATCTTTTGTCACGAGTTACTTTTGTGGTAAACGTTTTTCTGAGTGAGATCGTAAAAGGTTGACTAAGTACTTTGTTGCAACGTTGATGAAGAATGGTCATTTGGAGAGACGTTTTTATTGTGTGAAGATTCCTTTTTGGGTTTATTCGTCGTAGTTTTTATTGTGCAGGAGCAGGTAGGGTAGTTGGGAAACTGGCGATGTGAGAAGAGGATTAGATTCTGGTTCGTAGGTTTTTAAATTGTGGAAGTTTGGAAGTTTAAGAAGTTCGGGGCTTAGAAATTTGGAGATTTGAAAATTTTGGGAGGGTGAAGTTTGAAAGGGTAGAAATTGGAGATTTGAGAATTTTGGGAGGCTGAAGTTTGGAAGGGTAGAAATTGGAGATTTGAGAATTTTGGGAGGCTGAAGTTTGGAAGTGTAGAAATTGGAGATTTGAGAATTTTGGGGGGGGGCTGAAGTTTGGAGGGGTAGAAGTTTGGAGATTTGAGAATTTTGGGAGGCTGAAGTTTGGAAGGGTAGAAATTGGAGATTTGAGAATTTTGGGAGGCTGAAGTTTGGAAGGGTAGAAATTGGAGATTTGAGAATTTTGGGAGGCTGAAGTTTGGAAGGGTAGAAATTGGAGATTTGAGAATTTTGGGAGGCTGAAGTTTGGAAGGGTAGAAATTGGAGATTTGAGAATTTTGGGAGGCTGAAGTTTGGAAGGGTAGAAATTGTAGATTTGAGAATTTTGAGAGGCTGAAGTTTGGAAGGGTAGAAATTGGAGATTTGAGAATTTTGGGAGGCTGAAGTTTGGAAGGGTAGAAATTGGAGATTTGAGAATTTTGGGAGGCTGAAGTTTGGAAGGGTAGAAATTGGAGATTTGAGAATTTTGGGAGGCTGAAGTTTGGAAGGGTAGAAATTGGAGATTTGAGAATTTTGGGAGGCTGAAGTTTGGAAGGGTAGAAATTGGAGATTTGAGAATTTTGGGAGGCTGAAGTTTGGAAGTGTAGAAATTGGAGATTTGAGAATTTTGGGGGGGCTGAAGTTTGGAGATTTGAGAATTTTGGGAGGCTGAAGTTTGGAAGGGTAGAAATTGGAGATTTAAGAATTTTGGGAGGCTGAAGTTTGGAGGGGTAAAAATTTGGAGATTTGAAAATTTTGGGAGGCTGAAATTTGGAAGGGTAGAAATTGGAGATTTGAGAATTTTGGGGGGGCTGAAATTTGGGGGGGTAGAAATTTGGAGATTTGAGAATTTTGGGAGATTGACGTTTGGAGGGGTAGAAATTTGGAAATTTGAGAATTTGGGGCTTTGAGAATTTGACGACCTGGAAATTTGAAAATTTGAGGATTCAGGAATTGGAAGCTTAGAAGTTTGGAGATTCGACAATTTGGGGATACAGAAATTTGGAACATTTGAAAATGAACCTTGAGAATTTTTGAAAGTATAAAATTTATGAATTTGAAAATTTTGTAACTTTGAAATTTGAAAATTTAGAAACTACAGAATTTCAGAACTAGAAAATGTTCCAAACTGGTAATGTTGAAAATTAAAAATATTTTCTAAAATATTCTTTTCATAGAATTAGTAGCATGTTCGTAACGATATATGTCAGTTCAAAGCAGTTTTGATACTAATTTATTATAGTGAAACGGTAGTATAATAACCGCGTAGATAATTAAAACGGTGATTAGAAAACGGTCCGGGTTTTAACTTGGTAAGAAAAATACGCGTCTATTGTTCGAGACCCTTTCGGTCTGCTTCCGTTCATTCCAATCTTGTGAGTTTATTGGAATTTCTAACGTAAGAGAGCAATAATCCTGGTTTCCCTGTTTGCTAATTTAATGAGAACTAATCTGTTGACTTATTTCTAGGAAATGGTAGGTCTAACCTATTATGTAAATGTGTTGTAGACTGTAGACTTTATTATTTCCTTTGCTGAGGAGAATAAATATAATTAAAAAAATAATGTAGAGTGTAGAATAAGTTAATTTATAGTTCAGTCAGATTTCCACAATCTAAGTGGAAAATATAAGTGTTAAAATAAATTTTCAACACAAGCTTATACAATGTATATACCTTTCCTGGCGCAAGAATCAAACCAGGGTACATCGTGCAGATACATAGTTAGAAAGATACTCGCTAGAATCTAGACTGGATACAATGTAGATCACTAGAATGTGGATCAAATAGATGCAGAGAGATGAGGCAATTAATTCGTTCCATCGGAGCGATTTTTCCGCGCAGCATTAACTTCTGAACGATTATGAGTCAATCGAAGTCTGCATCTTCTCGAAATCAATTTTATAATTCACGTAATTCTCCTTTAAATATAAAATATTTATTCACCTTCGTTGCCTTACTATTGCTTGTCTACTTATTTATTCTCCAAGTAATGTAATTAAAGAAGTGTTTAGAATAGAATGAACATGCTAAGAAAGAAATTGAATTTGAATAATAAATTAAAATTTTCTTTTAAAAATTGAGAAACTTGCCATGACGAGTGTACCGTAGATAAGTATCGAAATGGTAAAGTCGGTTGTGCAGGGAAGTAAATGCAAACGGAAGATCCTTCGGGGCAGATATTTTTGTCAATCTCGCGAATCTATCCCGTGGCTCGTTCCAAAGAGCGAATCGTGAAACGCGCTCCCCCGATAGGATCGACCGTAAATCTGAGCCGACAGGCTGTTCCAGTGGATATTTTATGGTGGCCCGTAGAGATTTGGTGCGGACAAGATCGGCGCCGGAATGCGTCGAGCGACTCGAAATATTCGATACGGGGCGATAAATTGTTCCTCTACCTTGGCGCGCGCATTCCACCGCGAGCATTTATGAGCGAACCATTTCCTTCGGGGCTACGTTTCAAAAAACACCACAATTGTAATAACGTTTCCGCGTACTGTTTCTTCGACGATGCTGTTCTTTTTTTTTCACTATCGTTCTACTGATCAATACTCGTTATTTATTTGCACGATTATTTATTTATGATTAACTGGTGAAATGATTTATCGTTGCTGACTGAAAGTTGCAAACGTAAAATTTAATTCTGTTGTTAAAAAATTATTGTGCATAAAAAATTATCAGATTTTTAAATTTACAAGGTTTTATAAAATATGCAAGGTTTATAAGATTTGCTATTTTGTAGTATAATAGTTGTATAATAATATGACGTAATGTAATAAAATAGTGTTAGTAATACTAGTAATATGGTAACAGTAATGTAGTGAAATATTGATGTATGCATATAGTAGTATAGTAGAATATTAAAATAGTGGCATAGTGGTGAAATAGTATAGTAGGTTATTACAGTAGTGGTATAGTAGTATAGTGGTATAGTGGTATAGTAGTATAGTAGTATAGTAGTATAGTAGTATAGTAGTATAGTAGTATAGTAGCATAGTAGTATAGTAGTATAGTAGCTTAGTAGCATAGTAGTATAGTAGTATAGTAGTATAGTAATATAGTAGTTTAGTAGCTTAGTAGTATAGTAGCTTAGTAGTATAGTAGCTTAGTAGCATAGTGGCATAGTAGTATAGTAGCTTTGTAGCATAGTAGCATAGTAGTATAGTAGCATAGTAGTATAGTAGCTTAGTAGCTTAGTAGTATAGTAGTATAGTAGTATAGTAGTATAGTAGCTTAGTAGCTTAATAGTCTAGTAATATAGTAGCTTAGTAGTATAGTAGTATAGCATCTTAGTAGTATAATAATATAGTACTATGATAATATAGTAGTATAGTAGTATTTTAATATTAAGTATTAATATAATAGTACATCAGCAGTATAGTAATTTAGTAGTGTAGTAATTCGTCACTATAGTGATTCAATAGTATCCTAATATAGCAGCACAGATCTCACATTTTCATATCATCGGAATCTTCTACTTCTACTTACAAACCGTGAATACTCTCGTCTCTCACGACTTGCAAATTATTAAATTAACCTCGAATACCATCGTTGCTTCGATTATTTGTAATCTTTCGCACGAGCAACATACGAACCATATTAATTATACTTCAGTCGCCACGTTATTTTGCACGACAAGATACAACTCGCGCGACGTTTCTTGTCTTAATCAGGCAAGCGCTAATTCCATTAGGCTGTCGGAAAAATCATGTTTCTTACCATTCGAATCAAGCTCGAGTATGTTCGGTATGAAAGCAAGTATCCACGATACAAATAAGAAGCAACGGGTCCGTGATCATCTATGTGACAGAAGAAAAAAAGAACTAGGATGCGAGATATTTATGAGGAAACATTTATTCATCGCGTCATACGTTGTTATATTATTCTTGCTCTATCTCGTGTCGTAAAGTGTGCTGTAATTACTTTGATAACGCTTCACGCATTTCGAAAGTATCAAGGTGATGTAGTCTCGTGATAAACCGGCGGACTTCTTCGTGTCCGGTATCATCTGAATCAAACTCGATCAAGTCTCCGTGTACAGGTTGATATCGAAGCTCCTATCATTTGCATTTGATAAGCCAAAGCTGTTTGTACACATTACAGCCGATAATTTTCTAGCTGGCCATATAGCCGCGGAAATCGCGGGATTCCGACTTTGCGTTTTTACGAGAGCGGGAACTTTAGATAACAAATTTTATAATTTTGGAATTTTCTCATTTTCAAATATTTCTGTTTTTAAAATTTGGGAATGGTCCTTTGTTAATTTGGTAATTCAAGCTTTTGAGGATTTGGGAAGTTGGGCCTTTGAGGATTTGGATTTTTACAAAATTTTGGAGTCTGATAATTTAGAAACTCATAAGTTTGAACACTCAAAAAATACATGAGTTTATGAATCATTTATCTATGAATTTAGAGACCGACAAATGAAAAATTTGTAAAAGAAAAAATATAGAAAATTGTTCAAATACTCTCCCAATAAGTCGCCACATGCTATAAAAGGAACCACACATGAATACTCGATATCAAATATGTTACGGTTCCCCATTACTCGCCCCCAGTGACACCTATAGTCATAACATTTGACAGTAAAAGTCCCGGCTCGCTGTCGGTCCGAAAACATGCCTTAAACGATCACAATTCATGCAAACCGCGATGTCAACGAAATCCGTGGACGTTTGTTTCGCAACGTGGCAAAAGATCGGGTGCGTGTCCATTCAGTCGAACGAAAGAAAGAAACGAGGAGGACAGTATAGTAGGAAGCGAGCCACGATTTGAATATCCGTGGGTGTTCAGCTCGATTCTTTTTATTTCTTATTTTTTCACGGCTTGAACTCACGCGCACGCCTGTTACCATCCAATCTGTAATTCATTGAGCACAGTAAGGAACAATGGCTACGGCTGCGCCGCAGACTTTTCCATAATTATACGGTGCTTAAGTCGTGATTACCGTGCACCGGTTCGCGATGTACCGTCAGCAACTTGCCGTACACTGTGTGGATGATTTTTCGCAACAATAGAAAAGAATTATCTCTGACATTCGCTTTGTGTCGGATCCCTTTGCAGCAGAAAACTGCATTCTTTTGCCTGTATTTGGTTTAAATTTTCTAGCTTGTTTTTCGATGAAAACACTAGTCATAGTTCGTGGAGTGACCACGGAAACACGTATGAAATGTGGGGTTAGGAAACGTTCGGTGCCAGGTGCTTATGGTTGAACTGAGGATTTAGCGTAGACCTCGTGTTAGGTATGTGGATGTACTTTAAAAATGTATCTCATAATAGGTGCAATACTTCAAATATTATAGTTATCATAATACTTCTCATAATTCATTTATGTCAAGTTCTTGAATCCTAACCTTCCAAATCCTTAAATTCCAAGTCTCCAATACCCCGAATGATTCAAGAGATCAGAATCCATAAAAAGTTGACCGATGTCACGCGTTTGTATGAAAAAGGAAGATCGATTTAAGAAGAAAAATCGACCGCAGCTGAAGTTTTATCTGAGTGGTAACATGCGCGCTGGCATTCTGCAGCGTGCGCGCATGTAATAACAATGCGTGGATGTATGAATATTGCAAACGGTGAAAGCGTACCACATACCAGACTCGTTACAACCGTCCCGTCGTAGCAGACTGCAGCCTATGGTTGGCTATGCCATACATCGACCGAAAGAATGTCTCGGAACGTGATCAGAGTGGTGCGATACACCTTGCCCGAACGTGATAACAGAAACCTGCGTTCGATCCTCGGGTTTTCAGTTTGCAACCAGACATCGCAGCTCGATTATCCTCCATTTCGATCGAGCTAATCGATGTAACGCTTCAACCATTCTGATTTTGTTATCGTATGATGAATTCCACGATCGACTCAATTAATTGGCGTAGAGGCGATCGTTTTTGCTGGTTCTATTAACAGCCTCATTGTCCTTGGTCGAAGTATCTCCGAGATTTCCACTGTTCGAGGAATTTCATAGACGGCAATTATATTCATAGCAGAGAACGTGCATACGGAAACGCAAAAATCTATCCGGCGCGTTTTAACGCTTCAAAGCATACCGGAATGCACGAACATTCCATCTCAGCCAACAAACGCGATGAGCATGCAACGCTGCTCAACGAGAGCCTCTCTCAAATATTTCGACCACGACCGGATTAAATTAACCAAGTTATGCTCGAGCTGCAATGCATTTAATCGAATAAACGAATCAAACCTCTTCTCGCTGCTCGCGCTCGAGTTATGCAATACGTCTGGGTAACATTGAAACAGTTAATGAATAAACGATGGAAAATACGTTTTCATTATCTTCAAATTCTTGCGTTATTATCCATATGTGAAGTATCTAATGCCTATATAAATCATAAGGAATTACTCATTCGATCTCACATGCATAAACCACCATATGACCATATCGATATCTAATATGAGCAACATTGTAACCCTATGTACTGAAGTCATTGTTCACGCATTGTTGAAGTCATTATCAGATGTCGATATGTATTTATTGAAAGTGATCTTTTCGTTAATGTCCTAATTTGTTGGTATGTAATATGTTTTCAGGCGAAGTCGAGAGTGAAGGAGGTATACGCGCAGACATGCATGCTTCTTGGCCAGCAGGGCATGCGAGACTGCGAACTGTTCGGCCTGGCAATACTGTCCGGTGAGTAAATCGCATCTCGAAACCCTTTTCCTTTCCTACCTGGTTCGACGATCTCGTTTCCGTCGTTCCGTCGTTTAACGGACGAAATGCGGTCGGACGGGCCAGTGAGCATCGTGAATGACTTGTGGGGTAGCGTATCCGCCTCGAATTACGGCGCGCCACTTTTTAACCTCCTCAGGAGTAGATCGAATTACCGAAGCTCACGCGAGTCATTAGGTGTTGCGTTTCGCGAGAGCGCGAATACTCGACACGATCGTGCGTTCTGCAACGTCAAATTGCTCTTCTCGTTTCTTCGAGAAGAACCGTCTCGTAATAGTTCGTGATTGATGGATTCACTTTGAACTTGCTCTCTCGAACCTTTCGACCTTGCTCGAGAAATCTTAAGGATACGTAATGTTTGAAATTTTATAGTCGCAGATCTCTGATTCATAGTCATGCAGATTTTGGAACTTGCAATGTTGATCTGAATGTTCCAAAAGGAATTGAGAAGTTCAAATTTTCAGATGAAATAATTGAGAAATTTGAGACATTTGTAACCTGAAAATTTTCAAATGAAAAAGTTTGATAGTATTCAGATTGTATGAACATTCATATTCCGCAAGCCAACATCTGAATTTGTTGGGTCAAACGGTAGCCAGAAGCTCGACCGAGTCACGTGGTTGCGTCCCGCAATGCGTTCCCGTAAGGATCGCTATATTCCTAGATCCCAATAGTCCCAAAAAGACTGTTGACTAATCTTTCGAGATCTTTGTGCATAGCCGTGGTCTTGTTCCTCTCGGTCGGCTTCTGGCCCCTGGTGGCGAGCCGTCCCTTCTCTTCACCGAATACTCGCTTGCCACTACCCTCGCTCTACTCTATGCCTTCCCACCAGTCATGACAAGCCGGTCCGACTGGTACCCCCACTAAGCGGACCCTTCTTGGGCCTCGCAGGGCCTTGCGGGACCCCTCCCTCCTACATTCCAACGGGGCCCCATCACGGCGAGCCTGAGCTGGCGGGTTTTGAGGCGCGCGAGCCATGGCACGACAGGAAAAAAATGCATCTGAAAAACCAAAACAAGTAGAAAAAGGTAGCTCACACCCCTGCATACGTGCGTTGGTTTGCGTGAACGCTCGCTACAACCTGCACACGCGAGCGGGTATATATGCGAAACTGTACTCGAACTATCCCGTAGGGTTTCCTCCCTGCGTTTCTCTGTTTTGCCTCACCCTTAGTCATTCGCTTATTTTCCTCCTTCGCTTAATTCTCTAAGACCTCCGTCTGCACGATTGAAAATTTGCAAAGAATTTAGACTATGCGAATTTTGAGATTTGGCAACTGGTAGGGCGAGTGCTGCACCTGTTCGTTCCTCTATCAATTTCTGTCGGCTCTCGTTTATCTTTTTTCTAGATCAATATAGTCCTCTTGAACGTTGGCACTTCTTTGCTCGATTTCATCGTTGCTGACGTCCTTGCTTCTTCTTCTTCATCGTCATTGTGTTCGCCGATGTTGATCTTGTTCTTTTTTCGTTGCTTCTCTTTCGTCTTCTACCCCTGCCATTTCATCGTCGTATTCTTCGTATTCTTCCTCTTCGTGTCCCCCTATCCCGAACCCCATGCCCGTGGCGGTAAAATGACACGGACCAATCGCTGCTGCAATTTTGTAATCACCACCGTCTGGTCTTGGACGCTTCTTACTAAAAATAGATATCGAGAAGGATCGCTCCGGGCAAGCGGACAGCGAGCAACCGCCGTAAAGTTCTTTGGTTACAACCCTCCGCTTGGTGAACGTGATCGAGGATGGTACTTTTGGTCCATGATTCTGCGATCAACTTTTCTGCGGAATATTTTCTAACTAGTTAACGACCTTGTACACAGACTCACGTTATATTGCCTTACATGTGTTCTATTGACGAATAGAGACTACTGCATGGGGATTGGTAATCGATATATTGTCGCGCTACATAGCTACGCGTTATATCGCCATACGGTATATGTATAAGTGTTGCATTACGGGTTATACTTTCACGCTTCGTGTTACTATTCATTGTATCCCCTGCTGTTCTACTTCCTCGTTGTACTTTCATCCGTCGGACTTTGACGCGATTGCCACGTGTTTTAGTAGTACTGTATTTCTGTACATTGTATTCTGTACATTTCCACGCGTTATATTGCCATATTCTCCGTTACTTAACGTCGAGTTTCATCCTTGCCATATAATAATGCTACTGCGCTAACGCATCATACTACCATATAAGTCTATATGGTCCATTCAGGTTATCTATAAAAATATGGCTACAAATATATGTATAAAAGTTTGTATCATTAGTATAGCTCTCCCTGATGAAATATCTATGGCGATACGCGGCATGGACCGCGTTGTTGCAAGTAATTTATATGAAAGGTCAAATTTTTTGGGCGTCAACGCGTGGTACGTGGTGCGTGGCTGAGGGTCGAGGTGCGTGTTGTTCGCAACAAGAGAAAAAGGACCTGACGAAAAGGGACATGAAAGTGCACGAGAAAGACGGAGAGATGGTAAAAGGAAAAGAGTGAGAGAGAGGGGGAGACACACCCCTGGAGCGCGTTTTATACAGGGTGTCTTGTAACCGGTGGTATAGTTGGTAGACATTTATCATTACCTTTATCGATAGCCAGAATTGTTGAGCGATACAAAATTTTCCGGTACAATTCTCTATCCTCGAATTACCTTTCGACCCAGCGGTCGTTAGATACCGCATAGCTCGTTACAGTCGCGCGAATCACCCTGTATATAAAGGACGAAGGGTGTAGAGAAAAAGCGAGGAAGGAGGAGAGAGAAAGCGATAAATGAGAGAGATAATAGAGTGGCTGTTGTTCGAAGAGGACGGAGATACGTATACGAGAAAAAAAAAGAAGGACGAAGGAAGAAGGAGAGTAGGAAGAAAAAGTGCGAGAGAGAGAGTCGAGGAGACAGGAAAGAGAAAGGTAGAGAAAGAATGAGCCCGGGTAAGACGGTAGCCCGGTGATTTGTATAGGGCCTCTCGTATTACGCTTCGTGTTACTATTCATTGTATCCCCTGCTGTTCTACTTCCTCGTTGTACTTTCATCCGTCGGACTTTGACGCGATTGCCACGTGTTTTAGTAGTACTGTATTTCTGTACATTGTATTCTGTACATTTCCACGCGTTATATTGCCATATTCTCCGTTACTTAACGTCGAGTTTCATCCTTGCCATATAATAATGCTACTGCGCTAACGCATCATACTACCATATAAGTCTATATGGTCCATTCAGGTTATCTATAAAAATATGGCTACAAATATATGTATAAAAGTTTGTATCATTAGTATAGCTCTCCCTGATGAAATATCTATGGCGATACGCGGCATGGACCGCGTTGTTGCAAGTAATTTATATGAAAGGTCAAATTTTTTGGGCGTCAACGCGTGGTACGTGGTGCGTGGCTGAGGGTCGAGGTGCGTGTTGTTCGCAACAAGAGAAAAAGGACCTGACGAAAAGGGACATGAAAGTGCACGAGAAAGACGGAGAGATGGTAAAAGGAAAAGAGTGAGAGAGAGGGGGAGACACACCCCTGGAGCGCGTTTTATACAGGGTGTCTTGTAACCGGTGGTATAGTTGGTAGACATTTATCATTACCTTTATCGATAGCCAGAATTGTTGAGCGATACAAAATTTTCCGGTACAATTCTCTATCCTCGAATTACCTTTCGACCCAGCGGTCGTTAGATACCGCATAGCTCGTTACAGTCGCGCGAATCACCCTGTATATAAAGGACGAAGGGTGTAGAGAAAAAGCGAGGAAGGAGGAGAGAGAAAGCGATAAATGAGAGAGATAATAGAGTGGCTGTTGTTCGAAGAGGACGGAGATACGTATACGAGAAAAAAAAAGAAGGACGAAGGAAGAAGGAGAGTAGGAAGAAAAAGTGCGAGAGAGAGAGTCGAGGAGACAGGAAAGAGAAAGGTAGAGAAAGAATGAGCCCGGGTAAGACGGTAGCCCGGTGATTTGTATAGGGCCTCTCGTATTCCACCTCCCGCCCAAGCGTCCCTGCCGCACTCGACGACTCGGGACCCAGGAATGTGGAAGGAGGACTCCGAGGACAGGAATCGTCGACGCGCGGGACGGAGCGAGTGGAAGCGAGTAGAAGCGAGCAGAGAGGTGGGGCAGGGGCCCAGAACGACGGATTCAGAGGCGGAAGGGCGAAGAGGGTAGAAGCAGGCAGCAGAGAATGGGTCTTAGCAGGTCCACTCGGTATATGTATACTTACCTCGATGAAGCTAAGGCTCTGCGTCACAACAGGGCTTCAACGTCCTTCCTTCCCCTCCATTACGCATGCCGATCTCTCTCCGCTGCCCGGACTTCTCGTAAGCAGCACCTACTGCACCATTTAACGTACGTCACTGGAGAACGCTTCCCTTGATTCGTTTCCTGTTAACGCTTAATCCTTTGCTATTCTAATGAGAGCTTAGAAGCATCGTTGTTGGATCATCAGAAGTAGATACTGTGATATTTGCTTGCCAACGATATAACTCGAAACTCATAATTGTAGGAAAAATCACATCATGTTTGTGATGTATTCTCAGTGTTTTGATGTCATAAATATTTCTAGATGCTTGATGGTCTAGATGACTAAACGCCTATGTTCATAGATCTCGATGGCCATAAATACTGATGTCTCTGAATCAGGACTTCGTGAAATCCTAAATGTTTGCGTCTTAAGATACTTAGATCGTACACCTCATGATTTCTATACTCTTATATTCCTCTATTCTTCCGCCTCTTCTATCCTTATATCTCTAAACTGTCTACATCTCCTCAAAGTTTAGATAAGTCTCCATATTCTTAGTATGGACTACTGAAGTTACTAGGTGCTATTGAATTATCAGTCTATAATCTACCAGATTACAAATGTGAAATACTTGCGATGTTAGGTTACTAGAGCTATAACTACGTCCTGAAAGGTGGACGACTCTTCCTGGATGAGTTCCTTTTAGTACGTCCAGTTCTTCTTGGTCGTGGTGTG